GGGAAGATCCCACATGCCACGGAGCGGCTGGGCCCATGAGCCATGGCCGCTGAGCCTGCGCGTCCGGGAGAGGCCACAACAGTGAGAGGTCCGCGTACCGCAAAAAATATAAATAAATAAATAAAATAGATTAAAAAAATCAGAAGTTGCAGTTGTGTGGTTTGAATGGATTTTTGGTGAACCTCACATCCTCTCAGTGGAAATGTCTTCCTTCATAGCACCTGGGCCCAGGGACTTACTGGGGGAATCTCTGAAATCTGTTTTCCTCAGGTTTTGGACATAAGCCTGGCTGAACCCTATATCCAGCCTTCCTTGGCTGTTAAAAAGTCTACCGTGACATGGCCACTTCCCCCGTGCCCATCTCTTCTCCTTCTCTGGTCAGTTCTTTCTTGCTGGTCAGAGGCAGAGCACCAACAGTTCCTCCCATTGCATCCTCTGTCTTCTGAGAAATAAAACTGTCAACGAGACAATAGGCTGTTTGTTTCTACCTCCAAAAGACTTTGACAAACATCTCCTGAAGTTCTGGGCCAGCTCTGTGACCCACGTGAGGAGAGTCCACCAAGACTCTCCTTCTATCCATCCTTCTCCTCACACTTGAGTCCTTCATGCTGATCTTTCCATGCAGGAGTGAGCACAACTTCTTGACACTCAGGTTCTCCATCCACCACATTTAGGAGACCTCTTCATTAGAACACTGCACACACTTAATTTCTTCACTCTTGGTGAATGTCCTGGCTCACCATGTTTCAGTGGGGCTCTTAGTTCATCCCAGTTATGGGACAAAAGGAAGAAAGAGTAAGGTTTCATCAAGAGTGTGGAATGTACATCAAAGGTCTTGCTGAGTGGCTTTACAAGGAGAAAAGTTTCCCTCCATATCAGTGAAGGTTCTGTGTTACCAGTGACCTCTTGGGATATGCAGGAAGCCAGGTAGATAAGAATCTCTGACTATGCAGATAGGTGCACCCCATAGCCAAGTATGAGCTTCCAGTGCTCACTGGCTAGAAGCAAACCACCCAGGCACTGAGAAAAGACAGCCACGGATGCAGGCATGTTCCAGGACTGTCAGCACCCTGGGCCAACACCTCTGACCCCCAGTTCCAGTGCAGGACTCTAGAGGGCAGCTGCCCTTTTGTTTGGGGCTTTCCTCCCAGAAGCTACATCTCTTCCTCCTAGCTCCACTCTGAAACCAAACTCCCGTCTCCGGTGCTCACCAACCTTCCTGTCTACCCTGATTTTCTTCTACCCTGTCTACCTCACAGGTCCACTTTTGTGCCTGCTGCCTAACAATAAAGTCACTTTGTCGCTAGGGAAGGTCTCAAGAGCAAGTGACTTCCTGATAAGGTGACTCCTTCCTCACCCTGGTGTTGCACATGGGGCTCCAGTGCCTCCTGAGAAGTAGTTCATTTGGATGGAGTTGCCAGACCTCAAAATCCATCTTTAAACTATGCTTAGCTATTCCACAGAGCTCCCCCCAAATGATGAAACAGAAAAACAGTAAACTGAAAAAAAGATCGATTCATGTTCCTGTGGGTTTGTTCTCCTGCCTTTGGCTTGCTTACTATCCAGGCTGTGGGAGCAGAGAGAGTGCCACATCACATCCGGGTTGACACAGTATCAGCCACGGCTCGCTAATCACACAATAACGCTCTCATGGCACGGACAGATGGGAGGAACTACCCAGGGTGCTGTGAACATGCCACCGCTAATGTCTGAGACTATTATAACAATGCTTACCTTCTTATCTTTTATTGGTATATCTCAAAAAAAAAAAAAAAGTCCACCTACCACTCTTGTACCACTTGGTCATAATACTTCATTGTCCCATATACTTAAAAACTGGTTAGGGGCTTCCCTGGTGGCGCAGTGGTTGAGAGTCTGCCTGCCGATGCAGGGGACACGGGTTCGTACCCCGATCCGGGAAGATCCCACATGCCGCGGAGCGGCTGGGCCTGTGAGCCATGGCCGCTGAGCCTGCGCGTCCGGAGCCTGTGCTCCGCAGTGGGAGAGGCCACAACAGTGAGAAGTCCACGGACAGCAAAAAAAAACAAAAAAAAAAACAAACAAAAAAAACTGGTTAGTATTACTGAGACCTTAAATGTATTGTGCCTCATCTTTCAAGGTATCAGTTACTGTAATATTTCTATGGTTCATTTTGAGTGTCTTGGGTGACATTTAATACTGTTTTCAGCTTACTAATAAGCACCAAATAGAGCAATTTAAAATTATTTTCTTCCATCTTCCTTCACATTCAATTTACTGCCTAGAACTATATTTCAATATAGTATATTTGTTTTGCTGAATTCATTCATAGTGTATCTGCAGGCCTATATTTTCTGTAGTGACAACTACTCTATTTGTGGGAACTATTTAGGTCACTGGAAGGGAGAAAAAGAGGTCACTACTTAATAGAAATGGCATGTATCCAAATACCGATGCAGTTTTCTGAACACCTGTTGAACATCAATGATGAAGAGACTGTTACAATTTCCAAAACCCTGGATCAAAACCTTAAATGATTACTTTGTTTCAACTGACACAGTTTAACCCAGGAAAACAAGTCTCCTAACCAAAGAAAGTGAGTCTTAATATGCCAGCGGCTTTAAAAGTAAAATAGCCTCTTCAAAAAGCTATCTGTTACAATGTAAATGCTTTCCCATCAAAAATCACTAGGAAGGAGCTATACGATTTGAATGTCAAGGCATGCACAGTAACTGTTTGCTTTTGGAGACACAGCGAGCATGACCATATTTTCAGCTGTCAAGGGTGAGGGAGGAGGGACTGACCCACCTAAGAAATGGAAACTAACGAATAGTAATATGACACTCCCCCTTAGTTCCACTGGGCATCCGCTGGTGCGGCGGCTACACACAGCTAACTTCCTAACGCACGGTAAAGGGAGGCTGTGCAAGAGCTGAATGAAGGCGGCCTCTCTACCCTGTCCCCCGAACACTGTGGTGGAGGCGGCGTGCAAGGACCGCAAGGGAAGGGGGAGTGGGCAATACCCTCTACTGTTGCCATTCATTCATTCATTCATTTTCTTTCTTTCATCCAACAAATAGTTATTCGCGAGGCACTGTGCTAGGGGCTTAACTTTCCAACTTTGACTCAATAACACATTCTGTTACCCCACACCTCCGTCCCCATTTCCAGCCGTAGCCCTCTCTAGCTCATCAAGAAGGCGCTTATTATAACCTCGCTTTCCCTCCCTTCCCCAGGTTCCCAGGCTAGGGTGACAAGATAATACCAGCCAGAGGAGTGCCTTTCGAAAAGCAAAGAAGGAGAGGGCTTGGAGTACGCAGACAGGGGCGGGGGGCGGTTTCGAGGACCCTCCTGGCTGCGTAGGGAGAGCCAGCCCCTACTTTGTCGGCCGCGCCCCGAGTGAGGCTTCGGACACCCGGGCACCGCGCTCGGACGGGGAACCTGAGGTCACGCCGATACTGGAGGAGGAAGCAGCGGAGACGGGGTTCCTCCAAGGGGAAGTGTGCGCTGCAGGAAGCCCGAGGGAGGCGGGAGGCTGGTGACAACAAGCACACACTTGGGGAGGACCGCCTCCACCTAGGTGGTGGGGACAGGTTCGCAGGCAGGGGTGAGGAGCGGGCGGGGAGGGTTACCTGATGAACGTGGTCTTGCCCGTGCTGTACTGGCCCACCAGCAGGATCATGGGCTTGTTCTCAAAGTCGGCGTCCTCCAGCGCCGGCGAGTGGAACTCGTGGAAGCGGTACGCCTCCTCCAGCGGCAGCACCTTGCGCAGGTAGAGCGAGCGCAGGCCGCCCGTCACCGTCTGCACCGCGTCCGCGCCGCCCGCTCGTTCGCGCCCGCCCGCCTGCCGCCCCAACCAGCTAAACATCCTGCTGCCGGTCCGTCCGTCCGCACCCCGCGCTCGCCCTCTCAGTGCAGGTCCAGCTAACCCTCCCCACTCCGGACTCGACCCTCCCCAGCTCGCACTGAGCTGCCCGGGCCGCCCTAGCCACCGCCCGAGCTGGCCCCGCCTCGCGCCGTCTCAGCCAATTCCCAGTATCAACGTCACGGGAGCTCGTTCACTATTCAGAAGGGCTCTCTCAAGTCCTTCCTCATTGGGCTGCTACCAGCGCGGGTGGAGGGGCCAACCAATGGAGAGGAGGTTCTTAATGAATTATTGATGACGGAGCCCTTCTGGAGGACTGGGAGGGGAAGAGGGTGTTTCTCGAAACCACCAGCGCACTGTGGCCAGGTGGCGTCGGCTTCCGGGCAAATCTGAGCTGGTAATAAAAGAGCCTCCGGAGGCTCCTTAGTCTCCGGGAACGTTTACTCACTCCAGCCCTATGGATGTCGATGCTGGGGACAAATGTTCAGAAAGTTGACAGGCAGGGTCTTTCTACCTACTGGCAGATTATTACACACATTTTATTGGTGTAGAGACCCTGACTCACGGACACAATTGACAATATTTGAAGTAGGGGAAGTAGACTTCAATCTACTTGGGTATATGTTTCTCCACACTGCCTCCACTAAATTCTGGGTCGATTGAAGACCTTTTGCCCTTAGTTTTCTTTATCTGATTTTCTGTAAATTTGAAGATTTAGTTATCCTCATTATTACAACCTCATTGCCACATAGTAACATAAAAAGACTGTTAACCTCCTAGCTGTCTCTTTTTCAGGTGAAAAGGATACATCTAAATTGAGATTGGGAGAAATAATCAGCCATCACTTTTGGTGTCCTAGGTTACAGTTTTAAAATGTCTCAGTTGTTTCAGAGCATTTCTCAAGTGTGGTGGAGGGGGGCACCTGCATAAGAATAACCTGGGATACTTGTTAAAAATGCAGATTTCTGGTCATCACCCCAGACCTACTGAATTAAAATACTGAAGAGGGTTGGAGCGCAACGACTACCCACAGGTGATTCTGATGTATCCTAAATGTGAGGTAATAGGATCACAACAGACTTCTCACATTTGATAGCAATGCAGAGTCTGACTCAGTGGGTGTGGGATGGGACCCAAGACTGCATTTCTAACAAGCCCCCAGGAGATGGATCTGCTTGTTCATGGATCATAATTTGAGTACCAAGCCTGTGGTGGAGAGAACAGGATTTGGCATCAAAAGACCTGGGTTTGAATTCTGACTATATAAATTAATGGCTATGTGATCTTAAATGCAGTGAGTTGTCTCTCTGCCTCAGTTTTCTTGTTTGTAAATTGGGAATTCCTTTGGAGTTGTGTGGATAAAGTATTTAGAGGGAGCTATGTGTGACTAAGGAAGTGAAAAGAAAGCCAAGGGAAAATGTAGTTAGATATCTGCCTCATGTCAAAATGAAGATTGAAATGTAAAAATAAAATGAAACCATAGACCTACTAGAAGAAGAACTACAACTTCAGAAGCTACTGAAGATTTGTAAAATTTGGAAGGGAAAAGCTTTTCTAATCAAAATCAAAGATAGAAATTATGAAAAAAAGAGTTGACAGATTTGTCAACAAAAAAGTAAAGGCTTCAATTTTTTTTAACACATACAAACAAACCCATATAAACATACTCTTGCCATGTGATCCAGAATTTGCTCTCCTTGGTATTTACCCAAATGAGTTGAAAACTTATGTCCACAGGAGAACTGCACACAAGTGTTTATAGCAGCTTTATTGATAATTGCCAAAACTTGGGAGCAACTAAGATGTCCTTAACGAGGTGAATGGGTAAGTAAACTGTGGTACGTTTAGACAATGAAATATTATTCAGCTAAAAACAAATGAGTTATCAAGCCAGGAAAAGACATGGAGGAAACTTAAAACTATATTACTAAGTGAAAGAAGCCAGTCTAAACAGCCTACATACTATATTATTGCAACTGTATGACATTCTGGAAAAGGCAAAACTATGGAGACTGTAAAAAGATCAGTGGTTGCCAGGGGTTAGAGAGGAGGGAAGGATGAGTAGGAAGGGCACAGAAGGTTTGTAGGGCAGTGAAACTATTCTGTGTGATAATGTAATTGTGGATACATATCATTAGACATTTGTCCAAATCCACAGAATATATAACACCAAGAGGGAACCCTAATGTAAACTGTGGATTTGGGGTGATAATCATGTGTCAGTGTAGGTTAGGTTCATTGATTGTAACATATGTAACACTCTGGTGTAGGATGTTGATAGTGTGGGATGTTGATAGTGGGAAGGCTGTGTTGCAAGGATAAGGGATACATGGGAACTCTCTGTACTTTATACTCAATTTTGCTGTGAATTTAAGACTGCTCTAAAAAAATTCTATTAAAAATAGTATATATAAAAAACCAAACAAATCCATAAACAAAAGTAAAGGGCAAAAGACAAATTGGGTAAAATATTACAGACATATGTGATATACATATTTAATTAAGGACATTAGAACTTTAAAAAGCTACTATGAAGTTATTAAGAAAGAAATGAATAAACTGAACACCGCATTAGACAAATGAGCAAAGGACATAGACAACTAAAAAGACTAATACAACTGGCTAGTAAACATTAAATGATGCTGATCTCCATTAATAATCAAAGAAACAAATTTAAAATGAAGAGATAACATTAAGAATGGCAGACTTTTATTTTTCTAAGATGATGCCTAATGTTGGCAAGGGTGTATGAAAAGGTACCTTTTCATACATTGCTGGAGATGGTGTAAATTGGAACTTCTCTGGAGTCCATACTTACCCAAAATCTTGAAAATGCACATTCAAGACTTCTGCTTCTCAACATCATACTTAAGGTGAAATGACTGAAAGCTTTCCCTCTACAATCAGGAACAGGGTAAAGATGTCTGATTTTACCACTTCTATTTAATATCCTACTAGAGGTTCTAGTCACTACAATAAGGCAAGTAAAAGAAAAGGTATCTAGAGTGGATAGGAAGAAGTAAAACTCTATTTGCAGAAAACATGATCATCTATGTAGAAAATTCTATGGAATCTACAAAAAAAGCTTGCAGAACTAAGTGAGCCTAGCAAGGTTGCTGGGTATAAGACAAGAACCTGCTGTATTTTTATATACTAGAAGTGAATAACTGGACAATGAAGTAAAAAAATCAATATCATTTGCAATAGCATTGAAAATATTAAATACTTAGGGATAAACCTAATTTAAAAAATGTACAAGGTCTATACACTGAGAACTACAAAGCATTTCTGGGAGAAATAAAGAAGGTCTAAATAAATGGAGATATATACCATGCTTGTGGCTCACAAGACTCAAAATTGTTAAGATGTCAGTTTTCTCCAAACTGATATATAGATTTAGTGCAATCCCAGCAGGCTTTTATTTTTGTTAATTGACACGCTGATTCTAAATTCACATGTAAATGCAGAGGACCTAAAATAGCCAGAACAACTTTGAAAAATAACAAAGTTGGAAAACATACTACCCAATTTCAAAACTCATTGTAAAGCTACGGAAATCAAGACAGCATGGTATTGGTATAGAGACAGACTAATATATCAAAAGAACAAAATAGAGTCTAGAAATAGACCCACACATACATGGCCAATTGATTTTTGACAAAGTGCAAAGGCAATTCAATGGATAAAAGAAAGTCTTTTCAACCAATAATGCTAGAACAGTTGGACATCCATATGTGAAAAAATGAACTTTGATCTCTACCTTGCACTATATGTAAAACTTATCTCAAAATGATTATAAACATAAATGTAAGACTTAAAGGGAAAGGTTTCTTAGATGATACTAAAAACATGATCCATAAAAGAAAAAAATTGATAAATTGGACTTGATCAAAATTAAGAACTCCTGGCCTTTGAAAGATACTGTAAAGAGAATGAAAAGACAAATCACAGACTAGAATACATTTGCAAATTACATATCTGATAAAGGACTTGTATCCAGAATATATAAAGACCTCTTAAATCTCAATATCAAGAAGACAGGGAGTTCCCTGGCAGTCCAGTGGTTAGGACTCGGCGCTTTCACTGCCATGGCCCGGGTTCAACCCCTGGTCAGGGAACTAAGATTCCACAAGCCAGGCGGCGCAGGGGGAAGAAAAAAACACACCAAGTTACTGTTATATACCTATTAGAATGCCAGAAATTAAGTCTGATTATACCAGTTGTTGGTGAGGATGTGGAACAACTGGAACCCTCATTCATTTGCCAGTGGAATGTAAAATGGTACAACCACTTTGGAAAACAGTTTGGCAGTGTCTTAAAAAGTGAAGCATACACCTACCACATGACCCAGCAGGGGGGGAGCAGAGGGAAGAATTACAAAGGGCATGAGAAGAAGACTTTTGTTGGCCTGAAGGATTTACTCATTACCTTGATTGTGGTTATGGTTGACAGTTGGATATATCTGTTGAAACTCAACAAATCGTGTACTTTAAATATGTGCAGTTTATTGTACGTCAATTGTACCTTTACTAGTTGTTAGAAATGCTCACACTTCTCAGGAATTTTATCCTGAGGGAATAATGAATGTAAAGATTTATCAAAGGAATGTCTATCAGCATATCATTTATAATAGTGAAAAGCTGTGACTAGTTGTCCCCCCATGAAGAACTAGTTAAGCAGATGATGGATTCCTATGCAGTCTCTGAAAATTGTTATATAAGAAGAGTATTAATGACCTGAGAAAATGCTCAGAATATATTTTTAAGTGGAAAAAAGCAGATTACAGAAGTGAATCCATGTAATTGCTATGGCAAACAGTATGGCAGTTCCTCAGACAATTAAAGACAGAAGTACCATATTATCCAGCAATCCCATTTCTGGGTATATATCCAAAAGAATTGAAGATAGGGTCTCTAAGACATATTTGCATACTCATGTTCATAGCAGCTTCACTCACAATAGTCAAGAGGTGGAAGCAACCTAAGTGTCGATTGATGGATGAA